ATTTATATCATGGCTTTTTAATTTTAGATTTTAACTCGTTTCCTAAATACAGTTGTAGAGAAATATTCAATTTCATACTAAGTGAAGTTTTTTTTTTTTGAACTTATGTAGCGGTTGAACATTCAACGCTTATAATATACATATCGGTGCGACGTTCCGTATATGTACATTCTGTTAATTGACTTTGTTAAGTTTTTAGTATTTTGAAAGAGCTTCGATCCGATCGAATCGACCCGGGTCATTTGAGAATTACGGCTAATTTCAAAAGTCACGGGACGGACGATCATTTTGCAGATCGATAAAAAAAACTCGGTATGGAATTTTTTTGAAGAAAAAACATAATCGCTACGTTCGGATCAGTGTTCCGAATATAGCGACATAATTTTTTTTACCCATATACCTTATAAATGTTCTCGGTAAAGTCTCGGATATTCTCGGCTGTCTGTAACTTATGAAATTAGCTGTAATTCGAGCGGGTTATCATTTTATGACACGAGTCCTAATTTAATAAACCCGTGGTTTTGCTCGACCCGGATGAGCTGATTTCGTTTTACGTTACGCGACTTCGATATGTTTAGTAATATTAAAAATAGAATGAATTATAATGGATAAAATATGGAGACAAAGCTTTATTCGTTATGCTAAAGAAATATTTCTTACTATTTACAACATAGACTATATACCAGCTATTACTGATATCGTAGTAGAAAATATTAATGATGAATATGATGTTATTCTGTATATAAATAATATGATTATTTTTTAATAGTTGTATTTTCGGCATTAATACTACCCTAAAATAATCGGGACAATGATAGACTCGAGTTCTGTAATTATTAACGGGTTCGAGTTCGAATATGTGGTCAAACCCGCCCGACCCGACACTTATGGATCAGTAATTTTAAATTCTTTTATATTTAGTATTAAAATTAATGTCATATTTTCGTGCAAAGGTCACTCACTGTATACAAGTTTTCGTACAAGCTCACATCCTTTCACCTTTTTTTAATCGATAAATTTGTAATGGAAAATTTTTCTTAAAAATTTTGAAATAATATCATCCATAAAAATCGTACACTTGCCAAAGAAACTAACTTAAGCAAATCTTCGATAACCATCTTTAATATTAGGAAAAGTTAATTGAAGTGGTAAAACTAGTCGATCGAATCGATCCGGGTGGCCGGATAACTGTTTCAGTAGCAATACATCAACTCAAGGTTGCGTTCTTAAGCAAAATTTAAATATTGTGCAAAATTTTTAAATAATTATAATTTCTTAAACCTAAGTTGGTAAACATTGGTTATGCATAGATTACATGTAACCGTTTCAAATGGGCGTTGCAAATGAATAAAATGAATATAGAAAAATCAACAGCAATCATGCACTGGAACGAAATTCCGTTCTAGCCCCTTTTTCCCATGAAACTCGTTTTCAATTGTATAAGTTTGAAATAAAATTTTATATATATTATGGCTATTATTCGTTATGAATTAGTTTATGCCGCGATAGATAAATCGTATGCATTAATAGAAACTTCTATTGATAATTTTGACAAAAGACATGAATCTAGAAAGAAAATAGTTCTTGCTGATAAATTTCTTACAAAAGACGAAAAAGCAGAAGCGATAAGGTCATTGAATGAAATTCATGATCTTAATAAAATCAATCTTAATATAGGAGAAAAAAGGTTATGTGAAAATTGCAAACAAGAATGTTTGGCAACGACATATTGTGAAAATTGCATTCGAAACTATTTGAAAACAAATTTTTCAAAATGGACGTCAGATAATGACAATATTGATAATTTAATACGGAAATGTCAAATTGAAACTATTGGTCCAAAAAAAGTGGTTGAATGGATACCATATAGTAATTTGCAGAATATTAAATATTTGACTAAAGGCGGGTGCTCCGAAATTTATTCGGCCAAATGGATCGAGGGACGTTATTATCAATGGGATGTTAAAAGAAGAGAATTAGAAAGACGTGGTACACAAAACGTGATCCTTAAAAAGTTAAAAAATGTTGAAAGTGCCAATAGAAATTGGTTTGAAGAGGTAATTTTTTTTAAAGCATTATTTCTAATTGTTTAATCGTTATATAACCATAAATTTTTTATATTATATATAGGCAGAATCACATTTAACGCTAAGTAACAAATGTAATGAAATTGTTTACTGTTATGGTTTAACTCAAGATCCAACTAGTAAAGAATATTTTCTTGTAATGAGTGAAATGAACACAGATTTAAGAAATTATCTACAAAATCATCAACAACTTACATGGAAAGAAAAAATGAAAATTACTTTTAATATCATTGATGCACTTAGAAAAATTCATAGTGAAGATGCGATTCATAGGGATTTGCATTCTGGAAATATATTATATTTTCAACCCTATGATGCATGGTATATTAGTGATCTTGGATTTTCTGGTCCTGCTGATAAGCCATTAAAATGCATTTATGGAAACCTTCCTTATATAGCTCCCGAAGTTATTGCTGGAAAGGAATATGCCAAAGCATCTGATGTTTATAGTCTTGCAATTCTTATGTGGGAAATTTCATCCGGAATACCACCATTTAATGATTTTGAAAATGATTATGAACTCGTAATGAATATTGTAAATGGTATGAGACCAAAAGTAGCATCAGGTATTCCTTTAGAATATAAAGACTTGATGGAACAATGTTGGAATGCTGATCCATCACAAAGACCCGATATTTATGTAATTAAGAAGAAAATATTTGAAATGAATAAATTATATTATGAATCAAATGATAAAAAAAAAAGTATTATTAAAAAGTTCTTAAAGAAAATTAATTTATCTCAACAAAAATCAAATTATAATACAGAAGTTCATAACCTAAATATAAATTATACAAGCACCAGCAAATTACTCACAAGTAAAATTTATAAATTTGAAAATTTTCCTAAACCAAGGAATGCAACAGAAGGTAAAATATTTAACAAATAATTTTTATGAATTATCACAATATATAACTTATATTTGATTCTTATTTAATAAAACAGAAGAGCAAGAAGGTATTTTTTTCTGTTTTAATAATATATTTAAAATCATATTATTTTTGGACTAGGTTTAGTAATGTTATTTCATCATAAAAGCATTTCATAGTAAACCATACAACTTTAATATTCCTGATAAAAGTGAGTATTGATATTTTAGGTTATTTTGAAATATTTTATTAACTATTTATCATTTAGTTGATGATTTTGATTTAAGTGATAAAACCTCATCCAAAACAATCAGTCTTTTTAAAGGTAAAAAATATTAATAATTAATATTTTAAAAATAACAATCATTAAATTTTTTTTTAACAATTAGACAGTAGTAAAAAATTATCCGAAATATCTAAAAAATTACGAATAAATTCAATTTATGGTAAGTAGAATGTTTATACATATTGTTAAGCTATTTTTTCGATATTTAATAGAAAGTTTTTAATATAAAGGGAAAGCACCTCAAAAAAAGTTTAATATTGAAATTGACGGTAAGTAGAATCATTTTGAATTCATAATAATATATCATATTCATATTCATATTTTAATTCTTTATTTTATAGATGACGAGAATGAATCATATAATAATTCAAATCTTCATTCGGAAGAACAGGATGAATTGGAAATTCCCGACGGTAAATGATTCGATTTTAAAAATATTTTGTCTCTTATAACAAATTTAATGATATTGATTTATTTATTAGATGGATTTTAACAGCTTTATTGTCAGGAGCAAAGCAAAGGACAAAATATGTATATGCACTATGAAAATTTTCGGTCACGTGATTATTGCGTTTCTCTGTCCGCCCACGTGATCTTAAACCAATGAAATCTCCGATTTTGGAAAGTGCCAAGATCGCCGCGTTTCCTAGTCAATAATATATTGGACATATTCATGATATTATTATTATTTATTTTATGTATAATTTATAAGAATGTGAAGTGAAGTAAAGGAGAAAGCGATTATATTTTGACAACTTTTTACAGAGATAAAGGACGAATTAAAAAAATGTTTAGTTAACATCTAATAAATTAAATTATATTCTTTACTTAATTATTAAGATAGATTATAATGGAATAGATCCAACTTAATAAATTTGATTGCCTTAGAATTAATATTATATACTATAATTATAGAAAACTTTCTAACTAATGATGAAATCATTTTATAATAATTTGTATTTATGATTTAGCTATGGATCGTAATATATATATAAAAAAATATATCGAAATTTTCTACAAATTGTTATAAACCAATCTAAATTTAAATAACAGTTATAAAGTTTTTAAATTTATTAAAATTAACTTTTAAAGAACATGATTAATAAATATAGACCTTAAACAATGATCGTTAATTGGTCTATCCTTTATATACTGTATTATATAGTATCTTGTTTGAAGATTCAAAAGTTTGCTACGAAAAATCGACTCATTTAACGGAATAATGTGACAGCTAGCTGCCAAGATTTATAAGGTGAGATTTTGTCACATTTTCTCCTCGCTTAGCTCCTTTTCTCAATTATGGACACGATTATTGTGACGGTTGTCACTATACTTTTATCTATTATTTATTTGATTTTTTATTTACGCGAATGCATACTTTAAACCTCCTATCCAGTTTGATACTTTATATTTAGGATACATGTAAATAAGCTTGGAGAGCTAAAATAAATAAAAAACAAATTTTCTATTGGTTGAGATCCTGATGTGAATATTCTGTAAACTTCGTTATGATGAAAGAAGCATTACTAAGATATATTTAGACCTCTTTTCTGGGGTGGGAAAGATATAGATGTTTTGAGATTTTCTTTTGACGGATAAAATGTATTTTATTTTTTTTTTTGATTTTTAAAAAATGCCTTTTTGAATCGATAATGAAAAAAACAAGTTTAATGAAAGAAATTGTGTTCAAAATTTAAGTCAATAATTCCAACTACTCAATTAGTAATTTTCTTTTCATTTTTTTGAAACAGAAAAACATCACATTTTAATTGAATCCTTTTGCCATCCGTCGAAAACTTTGCCACCGTCGAAAATAGTTTGCCCTGAAAATCTTCGGGTTTTACCCAGAAACATTACCTAAAACAGGAAAAAGATTTGCCTTTTTTTATCTGAGATTATTGCCTCTTAAAGGTAAAATTACACTGATTGGCGGTGTTTCTGGATCTAAATAATGACCAATTATATCCTTATATAATTGTTTTGGAAAGATTTGTTCAAATGGACTAACTTTCCGCCAAAATTCTTTTGCGGAAATTTGAAACCATCTAATAAGTGGAATCAAATCATGAAGTAACCCTTCCAATTCTTTAAAATGATTTAATGTCCAGCGAGATACATTATCAATATCCAATCGAGTGGACATTTTTGACATTCCCCATTTGAGAATATAATTCCAAATTAAAATTTCCTCCATTTCGAGGTCACACATTAAAAGTGGAAGGATGTGTTCGATTCCTAATAACGTAAATTTTGGAGATTCAAAAAGAACTTTAGGACTTTTGCAAACTTTTTCTAAACAATAATTTCTTAAATCTTCAAAGGTTTCATATTGAAGTACGATTTGAAGAATTTCAACGGGTTCACTTCTTAAATATTCAGCTTGATTACTGATCAAGTAAGGTCGAATATAATCATTTAACTCTCGAAGATTCAACTCATCAGCTGCTCTATAAAGTTTCAACGCTTGTACACCGTTTTGTTTATCCAAGTCAACCATTCCAGTATAGAGGAATTTTAATAATAATTCAAATGTATCCGGAGAAATGTTGGGTTTCCTAAAAATGATAACTCCATCATCCCGTTCCTTTGACAAAGCGGTCTTAAAATGCATCGACCTTTCTCCTAAAATTAATGAATGTGCAAAGAATTTTTTCATATTTTGACCTTCTCCAGCTTTAATGATTACATCAAAATTATCACCGCTAGAAAGAAGTCGTCCAAAATCATTTGATAACTCCGATAATATGTTTAATTTTCCCTCCATGGTCTTTACAGGAAGAACTTTGGGGAAGAGTTTTTTTATTTATTTATTTTTTTTTTTTTACGATCAAAATGATACATTATTTAACTTATATAATTCGGAACTTACCCCGCGAAAGTCAGTGTTACATATATAGCAAAAAATAATATTGTTTCGTCAAAAATGGCACATTGATTGTTATTATGCTACTTTTGATCCATGTGCAACACTTTTTCTTTATGTAGTACACAGTCAGGCCATTATGCTAATATAACATGATTAGGTTGCCTTGATTCAAAGTTTATCGAATGATATAAATCAACGAGAAACTGCCAAATATTATTCGATAATTTTTTAGCATGGTGAATTCGCGGCTGGTCGACCGTTATTTATAGCACCTTATCGGCTATACTCAGTGAAGTTGATATAAGCAGAAAATTTATTAAAGTTATAATAAGAAACGATCTAATTTTAGGTTAAATGTCACAAAACGGTAATAATTCGAAAATTCGAAAATTAACCCTGTTCGGTCGTTTTTCGGTCGTACAAACCAATTTTGTCCAATAAATTAAGAACTTTAACTTCAAATAAATTGGCTTTAAAGTTCGGGTTTTTTGGAACCTCTCATATATACTTGGCAAAATCTCCATATTGGTACAATAATATTTTAAATTCTTAATAACATTCGATAGGTTCTTGTGATAATATTCTTTATTATAAAATAATTTATGCCACGCTTAAATATTTAAAATGAATTTTGAATTTAAAATTTATCGTCATATCTATCCATGAACAATAAAACAATAAAATAAAATTAGTTTTGTGTATGAAATCGTCTCAATTAATTTAATGAAATATTTCCAAGAATTTAGATTATTCCAAGATGAAATGTTCCAAAGTCCTAACTCGCATAAATAAATTCCAGAATCTTTTAATTAAACCAATTAAATCAATTTAAACAAGAGTTCAAGACTCATAAATTTATTAATATATTGAACAATCAAATTAATAACGGAATTTCAATCCAGAAAAGCACATCCTTCAAATAAAAGATTTTTAAAATTTTTAAAATAGCATTTTCATTCCTTTCTAAGGAATTGTTCGCAAAGCTTTGAATTTTGCTGTGAAAAGAAAATTTTATACATGTATATACAATTTTATGGAAATGATGATGTGTACTTATTATTTAATTTTTTTATTTTCTTGGTTCATTGGAATTTCTGCGCCAAAAACCTGATACGTTACATAAGAAAATTTTTTACTAAAATATTTGGTTAATTAGGTTTATTAATTACCAGTCATAACTGAACGACAAAAATGATTTCATTGCATAAATAAATGAAAAGAGGTTAAATTCATACAATAATAATGGTTATCTAACTAATTATATGGAATGATTCTCATTAAATTTCATAAAAAAAAATATCACATCATAAATCTCTAATGCCCAGTGTTGGTCAAATGACCAGGTTTATATGGGACTGATTTGCTTTCATTCAGCTATTTTAAAGTTTCAATGAGTATCATGTAGTATCAGTCTGAATTTTTAAATAAACTCAGCCATCCTTGACAATTAAAGAAATTATTAATGCTTCAGAAGATAACGAATTGATTTCATCGTTTATAAATTTAGAATTTAAATAATAATACGGGTTATTTTCGTGCATAACTCTTATCGCACTTGAGATTTCAAGGGAAGGTTGAAAGGTTCATATAAAATGCTTAATCAAGTAGACTTGAAACTTGTAATAATAGTTCATTGGTATCACATGAGCTGACAATTTGAAACCAAATTAAATATTCATTTAATATGTCTTTTAAAACATTTTATATAAATAGAATTTATTTGATGCAGTAACAATGAATCAATGATGAACCAAAACGACACATTGTCGCACAAAAGGAATTTTGATAAACAAAATAATAAGTATTCGCATATATTAATTCTTCAATGCGCGCTTTGGAATTATAAAAATATTTTGTCCCCATAAATAATTGCTTGCTAACAAATAAAAGATCATGTGTAACCTTCCGTTTTAAGGTTCATGCCAACATTCGATGATTCATTGGAAAGTTCCTTTTATATTTTATTTATATTTTAAATTGGGTTTGTTTTTTTTCTTAATTCTTTTTCTATTTTTGAAATTTCTCCATTTAGGTAATCAAACGATTTATCGTTTCGGTGGTACATTGAAAATAAATTATATTAAATAGTTGGGATCATTCTTTGAATTTGATGTTTTTCCTTTTGGTGCCTTTTTTTTACTTTTTTTTTAAAAAAAAAATAATTTATTCGCCTGAGAAATTTTTTTTCTTATTTTTTTTTATTAACTGTCTCAAATTAATTATAAAATTCAAAGAGATGGCAAAAGTCATTTTATTAATCGGGCTAGGTTTGGCCATATGGAGTGCGTGGGATATATACAATACGGTGCGCAAATCTCAAAAGAGAGGAGTAAATTTCAATTTTTTTTTTTTTTTCTTTTTTGCATTTATTTATAAAGCTGAGTGATTAATTTCTTTTCTTTTCTTTTCTTTTTTTTTTTTTGAAAAAAAGAATACACCTATCAAAATAAAATCAAATAAGAAAACAACTGAAAACATAGATAAGACGATTAGTATTTCAAGAAGAAATTCCATCAATCGTCAAACAGTGTAATTATGATCTTTTTTTTATAAGAGGGTTGAAAATTAAATTAAAAAACTAAAAAGTTCTCAATTGATTACGATAGGTCAAGGGACATATCGTCGTATGAACTTATAAAAGAAATAGGCAGTGGACATTATGGAAAAGCTCTTTTAGTTAGAGATAAAAATTCTCATAGAGAATTCGTATTAAAAGAGATTCCATTAGAAATCTATGAGAATCATGATATATTGAAAAATGAACATTTAATACACAGTAGTTTAAAGTAAGAAGAATGATAGATTTTTATCATTTACATGTTAGAAGGATACTTATTAAACCAAAAAAAAATTAAACATTTATAGTAACAAGTTTATTGTTAAATATTATGGATTCATGGTGACTGAAGATTTTGTTTATATTATACTTGAATATGCCCAAAGAGGTGATCTTTTGGATCATGTCTTGAATCATGGAGCATTTGATGAAGTTACTACCGCAAAGGTAAATGATTTTTTATATATCTTTTTATTGTAATTTGATCTTCTTTAACACTTGTTTCTCTTATTAGATCATTTCACAATTAGTGTGTGGGATCAATTATATGCATCAACTAAATATTGTTCATAGAGATATAAAACCAGAGAATATCTTACTTTTTGATGATGGCCTTGTTAAAATTTGTGATTTCGGCCTTTGTGGAATATTACCGAAGGATAACAAAAAGTAATTATTATTCATTAATTTTATTTATTTAATTTGTTTTTTTTAAAAAAAAAAAAAAAATGGCTAATTTAAATTATCGCCCATTAGATTAAAAGGGGCAGGAATCGGTACGCTTGTCTATAGATCTCCGGAACTTGTATTAAGTTTACCTCATAATGAAAAGACCGATATATGGAGCATAGGAGTATTGGCATATATACTACTTACAAACGAATCACCTTTTGAGGATAATGAAGAATTTGAAATTACTAACAGAATCCTCAAGGCCGATTACACTTTACTCGATGATAATTTTTCCCCTGAAGCTCAAGATTTTATTTATTCGGTATGTAAAGGTTTTTTTTTTTTTTTTGTTCATTTTTTATTTTCCATATCTTTTTAACGAAAAAAAAATATTTCTTTAATAGTGTATACAAGTGAATCCAATGCATCGACCTTCTACTCAAGAATTATTAAATCATCCTTGGATTTCATAAGTTCAATTATTTTCGATTATTTTTTTTTTTTTAAAAAAAAAAAAAATTATAATTATACTAATTTCTTTACTTGCATTTAATGTTATATATCACTTGTACTTTGTAAACAACAAACAATATCACTAAAAATTCCATTATCATAATAATTAATTTTACGCCACGATGAAGATTCATTGATTCTGACGAAATTGCAGTTCATGGTATCGAGGAGGTGGCACGAGGATTCTCAAAGGTTTTAAAAGTGAGATAGTTCTCAACATGAGATGATTAGATTTTTATCCTTGAGCGAACCTTTCATATGCCCGACATTCGAGAATTTACAAGTCAGGTTCAACTTACTTTGGGGAATGAAGTCGGAGAAATTGCGCAATTATGATCCTTCATGAAATAATCGTCACCATTAGCTTATTTGCTTTTTTTCCGATCGAAAGTTTTATCATGATTTGTACAATGGATATATTTGGATCGTAAAATGATCAAGGACAAAGATTGTTGTTCCTCAAGAGGCAGATGATGAAAAATAATCGTACAAAAAAATAAATAAATAAATAAAATAAAATAAAATAAAATCAAAGTATTCTATTAATAATTTCCTTATCAAGTAACTTCATTTGCAAAATTTTTTAGTATGAAAACGACAAAACGAGAAAAATAAAGAACAATTACGCCAAATTAGGATCATGATCAAAGTATCGAGAAATGTTTACAGAAAAAAATATTGACACGAAAAAGAATAACAAACCTCTTTTTGACCGTTTATATTACCAATTTGGGCGAGACAAAAAAAAAAAGCCAATTTTATAAGTTTGTATGGTGATCTTTCGCAGTCCTTATAATAAATACATGATAAAAAAAAACCCTCCATACTTTCATTGAAAAATTTCAATCATATCACTTTTGTGAATAACAGAAGGACCAAAAATTTCAAAAATAAACGTTATCATGACGACAAGTAAATTTCTGATCATTTTGACATTACTGTCGTTTAATTTTCATTTTCTCCCTACAGCGTCAGCACAATCAGTTCAATCGTATAGAAATGACTCCACTTCAGAAGTCATTGACACCATCCTATCCGGACTAATCCCAACCCTGATATTCATCTTTTTCGAGGATAACATAAACAGGGATTTTAGTCTTATACTAGGGTTGATCGATGACTTCTTAATCATCTTGATCCCACCAATTCTATCATTTTTCATACACAAAAAGCATCAAATAATGATTTTCGTTATTTATATGACTTTTGTCTTTATCATATTGGCGATAGTGCATTTTGACCTCCTCAACAACAGGTTCAAAGGGTATATATTAAAAGCCCTACCGTGTCTTTACCTTCCATTGAACCTGGGCATATTTGGATTAATGTTATATCGCTTATTTACTGTTCCTGAATCGGATTTGGCATTATCTATTATCACCGCCTCGGGTTCATTCATCTTTATTCTCGTCACCTTCTTCACTCAAAAGTACAGGAAGGCAGATACTCGGCGATTCCTTTTTACCTTTATCATGATCAACGCCATGAATTTGGGTTGGGTTACATTATTGATGAATCATGTCGTCATCTTTCCCCTTAGCACACTGACGTCCAAGCTCATTTACTCGTTGTGGGGATTTAGTGTCACGAGGTTGGTGAAGATCAACTCGACAGATATTAATTATGAAAGTATAGTGTACCATATCACCCATTGGCAAAAGGACACGTCAAAAAAAAAGGACACGTTAGAAGAAAGGATTAACAAAGAGTTGAATAACAACGGACCTCAGGTTGACGTTTCGTTACCGATGGAAGATACGGAAGGTTATTTTTCCAATTTGCACCGTGAGATCACCAGAACCGAGTCTGATTTTTCCATTTTGTACCGTGAGATCGCCAGAACCGAGTCTGTCACAAACCAAGAGGTCATCAGGTGCTATTACAGGCTCGGGAAGGCTCTATCGGAGCGACGTGTCCATTATGAAAGAACTTATCAGCCACGTGCGATGGCTCAAATTTTAGTTAATATGGAGGCAAGAAAACAACTTCCGAACGTTACCGAAGCGGAGTTTAAAAAGATAAGAACATTGTCCCTAAAGGTCTACAAATTATTTAGCATTGGCGAGGAATTGATATCACGTGTATCATTTACCGCATCGGACATTTCGACTCTCAGTTGGAAACAAATTGAGAGTATAATTAAGAAACATCTGGAAAATAGGAGTGGTAATGAGATTAACATAGTCCCATAGCAACATCAAAGTTGTCAGGCTGAATCTAAATAAAAAAAGGCGTGTTGAAGGATTTGACACCCAAACTGTGATTCGTGACGCATGAGGAGATTATGTGTCGCTTACCATCACATATTATGAGTCCGGAGCGTTAGCGAGGGACTATATATGTTTTATGCGCTTTGATGTCGCGATGTCCGCCCGCTCAAATTTTGAATCGATACGTGGTTGGTCCCTTTCGTTGCACTTGTGCTCCGGACTTAACAATGGTTTCCGAAACCATTCCCTAGTGTAATGTATAATTTGATGTTAATAAATGAAAAAATAATCATCTGCGCATGATCGGCTTTCATAATCCTGGTCAAATAAATCAGAATGATAAATTCAGTTACATCCGCTCTGTGAAATCAAAATACATTACTTTGTTTTAATCAAATATGATTTAAATAATATGTTGATAATGGTACCCTGATATAATAATACAAAGGCATCCGGTATCTAAAAGAAATAAAAAAAATTACGTTAAACGGGCATAGGTTGATTTGATTTATTTCCATATAAACTCTGTGCATCAATCAACTGTTTGCAGAGCTTCCCGTTATTGCTTAATGCCCGTTGGGCATTTCCGAAGTACCGGCCATAGATCAGAAACAGGGGGGCGGTTGAGATGGAAAGATCAAAAATGAGCTATTATTATGACAAATGTCAAATGACGAGATACCGTACATCCGAATTCAGCGATAACACGACAGCTCACCTTTTTTTTTTGGTGTTTTCTATTTGCAAGGGGACTCGTATAATAAAATCGGATCGACATTTATGCAAGGTTAGCATTGGTTACCTCTCTTCAAATTTGTTCGACTCACGCTCGCAGAAATCAACTTTCACATGAAAGAAAAAATTTACTTCTCGCATATTTTCAATGTATGACTGATTCACGTTATCTCTCTTTGAGCATTTCGTTAAACAAACATCATTTATTAAGCTAAATATTATTGATCAAAAAATCGAACTCCTCTCTTTTATTCTCAGTAATACAAACGTTCTAAACTTAAAAAATGTCATTCATTCAAAAAGACACCTTATCGTAAACGGTAATTTGTCAATCATATAATAAAAAAAACCAAAAAAAGCTATGATGACTATTACTAAATTTAAACAAAATGTTCATCCATGGATGCGTGATATTTAATTCATCACAACCGCCTTCATTTAAAATCATTTTAATTATTTTATTGTTATACAACAAATTTTTTTTTTTTTTTGAACGAGTTATGCAGGGCTGAGGCATGTCAAATGATAAAGTATTAATTTCTCTCTTAATGAAATACAACCGCATTGTCATTGTCTGGTATCATGTATGTACCAAGCCTTTTTGGGGTTTCCCTCCCTTTAAAGTTTTGTGATTTTAAATTTATTTTTATTTTTTTTTGATTTGATTTGATTTGATTTCTCTCCGGAAATTCCCCTTTTATGTACACGATTTCTAATAAGATTCTCATTGTAAAAAGGGTTCCTAATCCCTTTTTTTGAGTTTAACGTTCATTTCGACCTGTAACACACTATGATCTCTTTTTTGTGTAAAAAAAAAAAAAAAGGGTGGAAACGATTTTCAAAAGGCAATTTCTTTGTGACTGTGCTTTGTCGAAAATAAACGTCGTGTACCCAATGTGATTGAATGTGTGGTCTGGAATTTCGATGGTGATCATTAATAAGAAAATCATGGTAACTAACTTTACGTGCATAGGGGGTTTAACCAATAAGAAGTCCTTCGTTCCATTGTTGCTTAGTATGGTCATTATTGAAACAAATATATCATTTACAAAATGATGTTATTTTTTAGGATCTCGCGATCCTTTGTTGTCGATGTCAATATCAATACGATGAAAATAGATAGATCTCTAAAAAAAAAATGAAACGGTGGGAACAAGGAAAAAAACTCCTTTCATAAACAAGGAAATCTGAAGGCGTTAATCCTTATTGAGCGAATTGTAGAATTTGAACGTTCGATTTGGTATTTTACAATGAATCTAACATTTACGGTCAAGGCCGCTATTTTTAAACAATTTAGTTGATCAATGCCAAATAAAAAGAAAACAATTTAATTAATAAAATCGATCCTTTTTTTATTAAAATCTTTATGATAAAAAAATAACCGAATTTTTTTTTTGAACATCTGGAACATTTCGAATATTTTAATCATTCTTAAGATTAGTCATAAGTTAATTATCAGTAAAATGAACTTTAAAAATTGAACATTAAATTGAATTCGTAAAGAGAAATTCAAAAGAAAAAAAAAATATTGTAAAAAAAAATTAATCATAATTATAATAGTAGTAGTAGTATATATAATATAGTAAATTTGCCAAGTGAAGTGTTCAACTTGGCTCTTTTTTTTTTTTTTTTTTTTTTTTTTTTTGTTTAATTGAAAATTGTAAATTGTAATAGGGAATGAAATAATAAAAAGTGAAAATGATTTTTTTTTTTTTTAAAAAAAAAATGCAAAGAAAAAATATGCTTAGAAAATGTGAAGAAAATAGTATTATAAATTTTTTTTTTTTTTTTTTTTTTTTTTTTCTTTTGGGGGATTTAGCTAGAGTGGGGGAGATACGATAAGAAATAATTATGATAAGAAAAAAAAAACCTTGGTAGCTAAAAAATATTGTTTTCTGAGAAAAATCATCTACAAATACATATATCAAAACAAAATTTTTTTTTCTTTTCCTCTATCTCTGAAATCAGAAAAAAGCCACCCACCACTCGCTCTATTTTTTTTTTTTTTTTTTTTTTTTCTATACTAAAAACTCCCCGCTCCGCGAGAAATTTAAATCTTCACGTCTATACCAAAAAAAGGAAAAGATATGCTAAATAATATATGTACTGTATAATATGTATAATAAATAAAACAAAAATAATTTATAAAATAAAAATAAAAAACGAATCAATTCTGTACATGAGGTTTGAAAAAATTTTACAAAGAAATGTCAATTATGTAATGCGAAAAAAAAAAACATTCCTTCGTAAATCTCTTCCATCTTTTCGCAATTTATCTCCGATAATGTATTACAAAAATTAAAACAAAAAGGTCCTTGTTCTAATTGTAAATCGCGATAGGATTGGTTAACCAATTCACGAAGGATTTTTTTTTTTTCGTATATTACACATTACGTTCAGAACTTTTACTTGGGATTTGAAAATTGTCCCAATCTGGAAAACCAATTCCTGCGGGTGACAATTTATTATTCTCCAGTATATCTTCTTCCTGTGCCTTCTGAAATGACGATTCCACGTCGTAAAAAAAATCTATCGTTGAATCGCTCGTTCGACGATCTTGTTGATTTTGTTTTATAAAGGCCGGGTTCATTATCGTGGGAAACGTTGGTGAGGTCGGAGACGTTGAGAAAGTCGGTGAGGTTGGACTCATATTACTTCTCTTCATTGAACCTACACCTGATGTGTTCGTATCATTCGAAGCAGCTTGACCAGTGTAATGCTGATATATACGTTTCAACAGCACGTACTGCGTGACAGCAATTAACGGTTGAGCGCCTGTGATATGCCACATCGTCGACAAGAACAGGTTCACACCATTGATTGAGTTGGTGATGGTGTCGTGATATAATCCATAAATTCCCCACCAAGGACCTGATATCATGGGCAAAACGGCAATATACGTCATCGTATATTTAAGCGTATCAAGAGCGTTCCGCGTCGCATTACTATTGCTCTGATAATATCCACCTGAGCGTCTTGAGAATTGTTTCATCGAGTTTCTCAATATGAGCATGAAGTTTATTCCATAATATGCTCCAATTATCGCAAACGATGAATTAAAGAAGAAATAGGACGCATATTGAGCACACGTCCATTTCGCTGCCGCTGCTAAATTATCATTATCTTTCGCAATCCCTGATAATATTGCAAAAGGCAACGCTGTGCACGTTGGATACAAACACCACAAAGCCATGATTATGTTCAGCATATTTGGGGTGGGTATGTAAATTTCCCGCGACGTGAAATAATTTAAAGGATCCTTTTTACTTTCTATTTTTATCGTGGCGGCCGTGCCACTTGAATAATTGACGGGAATTGTGTATATTATACCTGTATGAGAAGAAGGGAGAAGATAAATTATGATTTATTAGCTAAAGTCTTTCCTTGATACAAATTCCATTTTTTTTTTTATGCATTTAATTCTTCATTTTTTTTTCTAAATTTTTTTTTTTTTTTTTTTTTTTTTTTTGTATGCAATTATGTATTTAATTTAAGTCATTCCTTCAAAAAAAAAAAATATTAAACGAAACTTACCTACGAGGTATAGAATTCCACCAAAACAAAACATGGTCCAACCAATCTCTTGCATGAATTCCCTTTGCCAATATCGTGTATATACTTGCAAGAGCATAAATAGAGAGTGTAACCCTCTAAGATAACACGCAATCGTCCAAAAGAATAATAAACTATCAACGGGCAACGGTCTTATGCCGTTTCCATGATCTACAAATAAACCATGCCAGTTGTATTTAAACCTATACCCGAAGGTAAAGGTCCCCGATATTGCAAGTAAAATGTATGTCACCGCTGCAATAGTGACTTGAGCGACCCAAAGTTCGGACATTGGACAGTCATATAATTCGATACGCCAGTCACAATATCGTATCGTTTGGTTGTTGTTCATCTTTGTAAATGAGGATTATGATTATGATGGTTGTGAGGGATAATGAAATAGATAAAAAAAATTTTTTTTTTCTATCAATCTATGATATTATTATTATTATTATTATTATTATTATTATTATTAACTCAAGGGTTTATGGAGTTAAGAGAAAGTAAATAAACAGCCCTGACTGCAGTAAAATGAATATTATATTAGCAAAATTATCGATTCCATGAGCGAAAGTAGAATAAATCCGGTAATTTACAATTTTTAAAAAAAAAAAAGTTTAAAGAGGGCGAGATATATATAATAAAAAAAAACGAAATAGTTATTAGTATGACGTTTGATGCATAAAAGAGCTGAT